CAAAACTAAAATACTGCAAAGACCTTTCCTTCAAAGGTAGCAAAACGAGATGGGATTGAGACAGATAATCCTTAACAGTGGGATGGAGGGTTAAGAGACTCTCTCAAGATACTCAATTGTTTTGTTCTGGAAGGTGGAAGAAATTACACTAGGAGGTTGACAGAGTTAGCTGATGCAAGTCAGGCATTCTCCTGTGCTAAACCACGAGATCAGGAATTTAAAGCACGTAAATTTTACACTATTTAAAGTAACAGCATTTACTGTCATGCCACTGACAGCAACAGAAATCAAATGCAGAAATCAAGATACCCCATTACACTAAGTACAATTTTATTTTCCACCCAGCCTCTTCACACCCTAAGAATCAAAGCAAACAACAACAGGCTAGTCACGTATTTCCCCCCCCCCCCCCATTTGCTGTGTTCACCTAGGATGCAATTTCTGAGCCTACCTCTAAACACGTGAGCAGGAGACACTAGAGAGCCTCCAAGCTCCATTTCACTCATTTTTCCACTGAATCTTCTGGAAATGGCAACCCCCCCATGTTTTTTAATTCAGAACAACACACTGAAACAGAAACTCTCTCAGATTTGTTACTTCAGACACATTATTATAGACTCAGTAACTCTTACTTGAAGCCAAAGCTTTCAAAAACACCTTTACCCTTTTCTTGCCTATCTGACAGCATATTCATTACCTCGTTGTAAACCTGGGGTTTAACCTTAATATGGCTCCCTTCCTGATTAACTGAAAAACGGCTTTGCTCCACGTTTGGGCTTGGACACTGAGACATGCTTGTCACTTGAAAACAACGAGCCAGTACAGCAATAACTTTCTCATTACGCGGTCTGCATGTTTTTAGAGCTGGGAATCAGATAAAAAAGTTGCCACATTAAGCGCTGTTAACCCGAAGTGTTGCAAAGTCCCAAAGATTAACGCTGCAGGAGCAAAGGAGGAGCCTGGGAGGCCTGTCTAGAGGAAAGGCCTCGCCTGGGCATTGCAACACGCCGCCCGCACACGTTGGGAGCGGGAGGTGCGGGGACACCCCGCGCTCCGCAGGCACTCACCGTGAGGGTGTCATCGATGTAGAGGGGGATCTGCCTCTTCTCGAAAGGGAATTCCTCCTCCCCGTCCCTGCACACCGCCACCAGCCGCGCCATCGCTGCTGCTGCTGCTGCCGCTTCCTCCCCGCTCCAGCCTGCGAGCAGCCAAACCCCGCGGAGGTAAATACCCGCCGCGCTTCCCCGGCACACTTTCACCACCCCGGGAACAAGCCTGCTTTACCCCATCGCCTGATTCACCACGCCGGGCGCCGGCCCCGCCGCCCAGCCCACGCCCGGGCGCGCAGCCTGCCCGCCGCTTCGGCCTTGGAAGGGACTCAAAAAGGCTACGGACCGGGAACGGGAGAGGTGGGGAGGTTGGGAAATGCGACATAACATGGAAGAAAGGGAGGGGACGGCGGGGAGGAGCGTACCGGGCCCTCGGCTGGGCACCGCCGGGGGAGGAAGGCCGGAGGGATGGAGCCCACCGCGCTGCGGGCCGCTCCCGCTCTCCCCGCCCGCCACCGGCCCAGACAGGCCGCCGGGGACCCACCCAGCCCCGAGCGCGGCTCGCGGCTCTCCGGCACCCCCCGTCCCGCCCCGCGGCTGCTGCGGAGGGCGAGGAGCAGCGGCGGGGCGAGGGGGGCGCCTCCACCTGCGAGGCGGAGCCGCCCCTGCCCCCGGGCCACCCGCTGCCGGGCCGCGCCCGCGGGGAGGGGGCCCGCGGCCCTCCCGCTCCGCAGCACCGGCCGCGGACACCTCCCTCGTGCAGGCTGGGGACAGGGGCGAACCGCGGGGATGCAGCCCGGGCGACGCGGCGGGCAGACCCAGCCCTTCCCTCCCTGTCCTCTCCCGGCCTCCAGCCGGCGCGGCGCAGGCTCCCCGCCCGGGGCGCCGATGGCGTGGAAGCAGCCTGCGGGCCGCTCCCGGCCTCCCCTTCCTCCCGCCTTCCCCTCAGCCCCACCGGGGCCGTTACCCTGCCCTGCGGCCCACCGCCGCCTCGCCCCCCCTCGGGCCTTTACCGGCTCCTCCGCGAGTCGGCGGCCCAGGCGCTCTGACAGGCGGGCGGACACCCCGGGCTCCGCCACAGAGCCGCCTCCTTCCTCTCCCCCTCCCCGGGCCCTCCCCACAGGCGGCGGCCCCGGGCTGCCCCGCCCTCCTCTCGCGAGAGACCGCAGCCCGGCCGCTCAACCGTTACCTGCCGGCCCCCTCCCGCGGGCTCGGGGCCTCAGGCGCTGTCCGGCGGCGCCGTGGGGCCTCGGGCGCCGGGCGGGAGGCTGAGGTAGGGGCGGGGGCGCACGTTAGAGGCCTGGCCCGGGGCGGGGGCTCCTCGGGCCTCTCCCTGCGGTGGGGCGGCCGCTGCTGTCGCGTCTCCGCCCCGGGGCGCGGCGCCGAGGAGCCGGCGGGATGCGGGGCGCTGTGCCCGGGCTCTCGCCGTGCCCGTGGTGCGGTGGAAGGAGCTGGGCCCCGTGAGGTGGGGGCGAAGGGGAGCGCGTGGGGTTGAACCCCAAAGCGTTGGTGGGTGGGAGCCCGTGCTGTCTCGGGTGGGACAGGGCCGGAGGGTGCCCAGGCCCGCGTGTGGAAGCGCCTCCGTGCTGGTGTTGCTGTAGGTGCAGCCGAGCGCAGACCGACTGGGAGCGTAAAGTGGGCAAAATGCATCCGGACACAGCCCAGGCATCAAAGTGCAGCCCCAGACCTCGCTGAGCTGATCACATGCCAGGTAAAGCAGGCTTTAGTTGCACTTACGGGCTCTTAAGGCTGTTGGCTTCTGCAGCACCCTAATGCAACCAGCTGCTTAACTTAGGCAGCCAAAAAAACCCCATAGACTTTCTTGAGCTATAAAATACGATAGAGATACTAAAGTCCTCACAAGAAAATGCAGGGGAGCAGTATTTCTTTTCCCCCTTGTTTCTGCATTAAAAATATCCTTAGTGGAGGAGTTAATTTACTTTAGCTCATCATGCAGCACCTCTAACAAACACAGCGCAGAGCCACATCGCTGCAGTTTGCTGTTTATGGGTTTCTTCAGCAAAACGGAAAGCTGGCGTTTACAGCAAGGGGTGGTTCCATCACCGAGCTGTGATGAGCACCCAGGGTGCATTCAGCATTCAGTGTGCAGGCTCCTGTATCACTTCTGCCCTTCTGCTCCCAGAGTGCGGTTGGATCACATCAACCCGTGCCACAGATGTCGTATTCTCAGGGTACATACTGGTAAACTATACCCGAGAAGTACCATTACATTTCAGGTCGGGTTTACCCACGGTTGCTGGAAGATGCAGCTTGCTTGTTATCTACAAAATCACTACACAGCAGCCAGCCCCTTCCTGCCGTGCATTTGCATGCCCCTCTCTCCTGGAAGAAATACCTGTTCTTTGGGACATAGCGGCTTTGAAGTAGGATACAGCTTGAGGTCTTTCTTCTAACATTGGACTTTAAAAGAGACGCTGCTGGGTTGTAAAGAAGGCTGCTACTGAGCTGACCCTTAAAACCAGTGAAATTTGGTAAGAATGCGTAACAAATAACAAGGTTAAGGATAAATTGCATCAGACACAAAATCACATGTTGGAATTACAGCAGCAAGGACAAAAGAATTTGTTTTCCCACTCCTCTGCTTTCCTAGTATTCCTGAAGTTGGTGCCATGCTATAGTTGAACTCTTTTATTTGTACTAGTTGAAATACCTTAAACTTGTACCAATTATGTAACAGCTAAATAAAAGTTTCTGATTTTTTTAAATGTATCTTTGATCTGCACAATGCATCTTTGATCTTCCTCGTCTAAACACACCCCAAAGCCAAATGAAATGCAGTGTTCTTGTTCCTACCAAGCACTGAGCTAACAGCTACAAGGTGCATGTGGAGAAAGTGTCTACAGTAGTACCATAGCATTAACTTCTCTCACATCTCTCCCAACCCATTACAGTGCCGTACACTCATACAGACTTGGTGATCAAAGAACGTGTGCTTGTGTTTCTTGGTTCTTTCAGAGGCATGGTTAATCATCTGTATCTATTCACAGTTTAAACAGCATTAATAACTTGCTTCAGGGCAGAGCTTGCCACATTCGTTATCGACAATAAGCAGGGAGAATTAATTGCCTCTCATTAAGTCAGTGGTGAACAACTTACTTCATATGGCTTTAAAAGCAGCAGACGGCTTCACGATGAGCTACTGTGGCACTGCATGGGTTGTCCCCACTCTTCTGGTCACTTGTCTGGGGCTGCAAACCACAGCTCCAGTCCTGGAGCAGGTGCCCAGCACCCTGCTGTGTGTGTGGAGCTAACAGGGCTCGGTGCAGACACCACAGACCTCCCACATCATCTCTGCTTCACAAACTGGAGTTGGTATCTAGTTTGCTGCTTGTCCAGACATAACTCTGCTTTGTCACACCCAATTAATGCCTTCATTCTGAATCATGTTGATAGACATGTGCTCACAGGCAGAGCTCACTGCAGGTCTTGGGCTTCAGATACTTCAAAAGTTAATATCCATCAGTAATTCTGCATGAGCGCGTTGTGCCGTTCAGCTCATGCTGGAGACCCTTCTTCCCTAGCAAGGCTAGGAAATGTTTTAAATCAATACGTACACAAGTTACCAGAAACCTGCTATAAACCGTGACAGCTGTTTATAAGACATAGTTGGCAATTGATTGCATTTGTCCCCAGGATAATACAGGGTGGTTTTCTTTCATTCTGAAGACTATATGGCTATAATTTGGAAGTAAACAAGCATGAAATCAGCATGGCCACAGCCTGTAATCCTCAGACTTAACCTTTCCATTGGCCAGCAGCTAAGAGAACCTCATAAATTTCAGATTATTCCACAGCACGTCTGCCTTAAGGAATCTGATTTAGAAGCTTAATCTCCATGGGTTTTATGATTCATTACATTCGATCGACAAGGAGAAATACAAAATGCAGCCCCATGTGCACTGCTTGGAGCTCCACTGACATTACACATCGCCAATTACCACTTGTATTCTACTTCTTAAGTATTTGTATCTCCCATTAAATTCCTCACAATGTTTAAATGTATTTCTCTTACCAACAAACTTAACAAGGTCAGGAGGAACTGTCACACTCTGGAAAGTGAACAAAGAGGGTGCTGTGACAGAAACTGAGCACATCTGCTGGTACCCTGCCCCACTGCATCGTGCTGCTTTCCATTTGCATACTGTGTTTGCTAATAAAAATTAATACAGAATGTTCCCACTTGAAGACATCTCAGCTGTCAAGACACAGTACTAAATGAGCTGCTGCTTAAAATGACTTTATAGACAAGTAGGTGGGCCTTTGAGTACTTTCAAAGTAGAGCTGAAGACCATAGTTTACAATGTTCCTAAAGATGAGCTGTCACAACACGCTGGTATGCAGGCTGGGGGTGAATTAGTTTTGGATCTTTGTACTTTCTTACAAAAGGCTGTGCTGCTCTTATTATCAAATTCCAACAACTGCTTTATGAATTCATCCGCAGTTGAGTTTATCCTTTGGAGCATCACACTTTATCTGAGGTCTTTGTTTATAGTCATCAGTGAGTATGAAAATAAAGCTCAGCCTTACTTCAAAGGCTCACTTAGATTTCAGTATAGGATTAACATTGCACATACAATTACTGCTATCAAAGTCAAGCATATGCATAAATCTTTGCAGGACTGGGGCCAAAACTGTTTTAAGTATCCACTTACTGAATACATTTCATATCAAGAATTATTCTTAGCTGTTATTTATGCAAGGGCCTCAACTAGGTAAATCCTGACTCAGGTAAGTCTCTATAATTACTCATTCTTCTACTTCTCATCTGATTTCTACTCTATACATTGCTACCTCGTTCCACCAGTACTTCACTGTTCACTACCTGTAAATGCAACATCACTCTTCTGCATGAGTTCTTACAGGAGCAGCAGGAGTATTTGGCAAACAATCTCAAAGCCTAGGTGTTCAGAAGAATGTGTACCAGCTCCAGCAGGTAACAGCACTGACTGCATGTGTTTGGTAAAACAAACCACTGAAAAACTAATCAATGCTAAATCATAAAAAGCTGTACTAAATTATAACTTAACTGCAATAAGTACAGAAAAAGTACCAATTTTCCCCTTTAAATACCATCCTCCAACTACAGCAAAGTTCAACTAGTCCACTGAAGACAGAGTGGAATCACCAAAACTTGAACACTATATTTCTGGCATGCATTACATACATAACTAAACAGTTAAAAAACATATACAAGTGTAGTATACATAATGTAAAGGCAGTCTTGCTGTGGATTGTATCTATAAGAATATTCACAGCACCAGTCATAATATTTGCTAGCAAGAAAAACAGTAATTGATTTTTATTGATAGCACTGATCAGGCACATGTGCTTGCCTTCCCTTCTGACAGGCACAGCCTCCAGTTCATGCTTTTTACTGGTACTGGGGGCCTGTACAACATCCCAGCAACAGGGCACGCTGGACCCCCTCACAAGCAGCTTTGTGAACACCAATGCGAGGTCAGTCACCACTAAGCAGATAAAGAACATCAGGCAGTGAGCAACCACCCATATGCAGTAGGAGAGGTTGGCCATCCGGCGGGACACGGGCTCCACGTACACTTGTGAGACGTGAAGAAAGAGGAAGAGCACAAGAACTGTGAGCAGTAAGAGACACACTGCCTCAGCCCAGCCTCTCACCGAGCTCCTGCGCTTCAGCAGCCATAGTCCCACCTGGACACTTGCCATGTATATAGCTAAATACCCAAAAAGAGAGAGCAGCCCTTCCCTGTTGGCATTTAAAAAGCCAACCCTCGTGTCTCTGCCATTGCTGCCATGCAAGATGAACATCTTCAGAGAGGTAGTGTTCAGAATAAGCTGATAAAGCACAGCGAGATTTACAGCAACAATCCAAGAGTTATATTTGGGGAATACAGACAAAAGTAGAGATGCTGCAAGCCTCACAAATGCTAAGGTAAAGAAAAAATTCCAGTGCACTCCATACTCTGAAGTATGTTCATGGTAGTCTATAGATTTAACACTGAGCAGTCGCCCAACGCCAAGGAAAATCAGTGGCCAAATGGATGAGAACTGCCTGGCCACATTGGAAAACTTTGGTTGTGTGACAGAAGACTTCTGTCTAACTTCAGGACAAACAAGAGCATTCCCAAAAACAAAAGCTCCAACCCCAAAATCCATAATTCCTGTTCCATAGGTCTCGGTTTTGGCGTATCGCCGCGGATACTGCGGGAAATCCACTGCTAAAATGCTGATGGATGTCAAGATGTTGATATAAACGCGGAAGACGGTTATTGCTGGAATGTATTCTGGATCCAAGGACATCTTCTGGAAGCCTTTCACCATTTGCTTAAAAGCCACCCTGGGCTCCTGCTTTCTTTGGCTGTATATGTTGGAAAATATTCCGGCACAGAAGGCTGCAATGATAATTGGTATGAAAAAGATGACTGGAGACAAGACTGTGCAGGAGAACAGGAGAGGAGACACCAGCACAAGGAAGTCCAGCAGCAGGCTGTATGGCCTGGAACTTAGAGGTTTCCCATAGTGTAAGTAATACAAAATCAAGAGGAGTCCTCTGCTGAGCAGGCAGAGTGGGGCTAGAGACAAACCTATAGAAATTTCCAGCAAGCTGGTTCCATTTAAGTCCCTGATAAAGGCTTCTTTCAGATGCTTTTGGGACATTCTTCTTGCTTTTCCTGAAAACACAAACATAAACCTGAGTTAGTTTTGTCAAACAGGGAGCTTGGAACTTCACCAAAATGCCCCTTGTGTTCCAGTTCATTAAAACAAGCACCGATTTCACAAGTCATCTGGTTTTCAGTTCCTCTTCAGTTTAAAGAACAAGGGAAAGCAAAAATGCTGAGGCTTGGTGGCTGGTGACACCGTGCAGCCACACAAGCACCTGCAAGGCCCAGCAATACAAGATCCTTAACATGGTTTTGCTGAAGATCTCTGAATACCAGACGCTCTGTTGAACTGTGAACACTCCTCCTGTATGTCCTGCTCTGCAGAACATAGTCGTGTTCTCTATGGTGTAAATGAAACAGGGATGTAAAAACGTGACCCCGGTGAAGCTCCTGCTCCCGGCCTGCAGAGCGGGTGACAAAAGCAGCAGCTAAAAACCCCACTTGTGACACAGGTGCCCTTTTACAAAGGCCCCAGCCCCACTGTGACCCCCAGCCAGGCTCCTCCGTTCCTAGAGAACGGAAGTTAAATGTCAGAAGCATTCATCAGGAGACCAGCTCTGCTCCCGCGCTAGCCGGACCCGCGCTGCCGGGACACACAGCGTGCGGGAACACCGGGGCTGGGGGGCAGCAAACCCGCGCCTCCCCCGGCACAGGCCGAGGCGACAAAGCAGCCATGGGTAACCGCGGTGTAACCGACCCCCGGCCCATAACCCGGGCCCCTGCCCCGCCGCACGCCGGGGCCCACCGCGCTTACCCCGCTGCCGGCCGCAGGTAAACGCGGGCCGCGCCGCCCGGCCGCACTTTCGCCACGGGAAGCTGCAGCCTGCTCTTCCGCAGCGCCCGATTCACCACCGCCCGGCCCGGCCCCGGCTCCGCCTCCTCCGGCCGCCTCGCAGCGCAGCACCGCACCGCCCCGCGCCGCTCTGCCGGTGACCGCTGCCCTCCGCCTCGACCCGCGCAGCGCCCGCGGTAAGTGCGCCCTGCCCGGGGACAGCGCGGGCACCACCGAGGGCCTCAGCGGAGTCCCGGAGCCCGCCCGCCTTTAACCCCGTGGGGGGAGTCCTGCCATGGCCATGGCGGGGCCCTGAGGGGCCCGGCCCTACCGAGCACCGGCGGGCAGTGTCCCTGGGGGAGCCCCGGCGGTGGGAGGGACGGCCGGCCACACACGGAGACACACGGCAGGGACCTTGGGGCCCGGCGAATGTCGGATCCCGCCCCGGCAAAGCCTGTGGGAGGCGGGTTCGGCTGGGAGCTGGGGTAGGCAGCCCGGGCCCCGGGAGCGGGTCCGGCTGGCACCGAGAGCTCCGCCGCCCGCCATAAGCGACGCTTGTCCCGGGGGAGAGCAGCGCAGCGAGATTAGGAACCCTTCAAAGGCAGGGAGGGTGTTGGTGGTGGTTGTGTGCACCCTGAGCTCTGTGCGCCTCAGGTCGGGGGGCAAAGTAGTCTCTAAATGGTGTTTTTATGCCAGGTGGGAATGGAACAGGAATGGAATAGAATAGGAGCAGAATAAGAGAACTCGATAGAATAGGATCTTGGTAATGGCAGTTTCAGCCGCTGGCAGAAGGTGGAATTCTTCTTGGCTGTGTGACCGGAATATCACAGAAAATCAGGGGTGAGCCTGACTCACCTTGCGTTGGCTCCCAGAGCTGCAGAGGGAACAGGGAGAGGACAGCAAGTGTATCTCGCTTCTGCTGCGGCACAGAGCTTCCCTGAGTCACTCCCTTTCTCAAAAGCACTGGCTTCTCCAGCGCCGTCAGACCCACACATCTCTTCCATTTGTCCTAGCAGGAGGAATTCAACAAAGAAAAAGTTGCAATTTAATGGCAAGAAACCTTGCTTTATTCACTGAATAGAAACAAAGCACTCCTGATGCAAGGGAAGAGGTATTATTCCCTCCAAACAAGCTTTGTCTGCAGGCTGTACGACTGTTACTCTGATAGTGTGGGTAGGCTTTCTAGCTCCAGCATTGCTTGAGGCCCCTGGGATCAGTACTTCTGTCTTTGGGCTCTGCTTGTGTCCATGTTCTAAATGCCTTTGTGTGTATTTATTTAGGCATTGTTCAGTCTGGTTTGAATGAGACACTCTACGGTAAAGGCCCTCTCCAGCATTCCCATCGATAGGGCTGGACAAGATGCCAAAGCAGGTAAAAGGAAAAACAGGAATTGCATGTGCTAACTAAATTCTAGTGTCAGGAAAGAAATCCTGGCTTGTTTCCCTGCGATCAAGATTAGGTAACTAGCATGCATTCACTCCTACTTCATTAATTGACTGTGTGGTTTTGAGCTGTATTACACCAAGCGAGTGATATTTGTTATGCCGTTGCCTTTAACGGGGCAGCTTACATGTTGCAAGCCCATCCTCAAGGCTATCTTTTCAGTGAAGTTAATGGACACCTGAGCTCTGCAGCATAGGTATCAGACGTGGTTGTACTTTTCCGTTTTCGTTGTGTTTTACTTTTGCCTCAGCAGTCACCACCTCTTCTTAAATGAAGTGGTGTTGAGCAGGGGTGCCCTTTCTCAGGGCTTGCAATGTCAGCTGCACCGTGGATTTAACTTGGCTGGTGCCAGTGTAATACAGTGGATACATGGGTGAAAAGGGCAACTGGCAGAAGAGGAGGGCAATTGGCAGAAGCTCATCTTGTCCACAGAGTATTTCATAATTACACATGTCTGCTCTCTGTGAAAGTAGCAGGCAGAGTAGAGTAACAGAAATCACTTTGATGGCAATGCTTAACTGTTGCTAAGCTTTTGTTTTTCCTTTGCTGTGTACAATTGTATATTACTGGAAATGAACTACTCATGCTGTCTGCAAGAGATAATAATGCTCCTAAATAAGTATACTATTGTAGCTGTGATAATTTGGTTTTGGTAATGTGTTAAAGGGGTTTTACAGTATATGTCCTCCTTTATTAGCTTAGCTCATGTAGTAGGAATGCTGCTAAGTAAATTTAGCACTTTTCCTGTATAAACAAGGTGATTCTGTTCATTGACTTTGTTAACCTGTAAAGAATTGCAGATTTGTGCTACTAAATACAAATGAGTAGGGCTACATTGGAGAACTTTCTGGCAAGGAGAAGGGGAGAACAGAAAAGGAATATCTAAAATGCAGAAAGCAGGACTGGCATCTTTTTCCTTCTTCATTTTCCCTTCTAGCCTCTCTCTTCTTCTCCCTCAGAAGTGACAAACAGGACCTGAAGTGTCTCTTCTGGATAAGTTTTCCATTACCTTTGTACAACAAAGGTGTCCTTCCAACTAATATTGTCAAGGACACAGGAGCCTGGAGGCTAAGATTTAAATACTTGAAGTGATTCAGAGGGGACAAATCTTCACCTAATGCAGGCCAGCTCTTACAGCACCACTGTTTCTGTCCCCTGGCTTCGATGTGTGCACTCTGATTTCATTCTTGGGGCCCTCAGTCTCTGCTCTAACAGTGAAAGTCTCTGCTAGGAAAACTGCATTTCTGTTGGACCACAGCAGCTTTCAGCTCTACTTCAGCCTCTGCAGCCAGTCCTTCCTGCTTCCCTTTGCCTAAGGCAGTGTTTGCATTGGATGCATGACATTCACAGGCCTAGAAGTATTCCAGTTAAGAACATTGTGTCTGCTGAACAACCTGCAGAATTGCAAGCACCAGGTAGTGTGAGTCTAAGGACACATTCCTTCCGAGCGCCTTTGCTTACAGCCAAAATTGCCAGCAATGAATTCAGTTTACAGTGTTGTCAGCCTGCCATTTCTTATATGCTAGATAATACCTTTCTAAAAACAGAGCACCCCATGGGAACCATTGATGCAGGGGGAGGGCAACTGGGAGGAAGAATATCTCCAACATGCTAAGTTATGACTCCTGCTGAGACTGAATTTCAGTTACATGGAAGCAGTAGAAGAGCTGTAGTGGATGAGTTGAAAATCCAGCTGTTTTCAGCCTTTGACTGGTGCTGATCTGACATCCTTTCCAGAAAAATGGCCCGAAAGAAGATTCTGCTATCCAGAATGACCTCAGTGAATCGTTTGAGGAAGAAGTTAGAGCATTCCTCAGTGATGAAGAGAAACTGCATCTTTTTGACGACCTCACAAAGGTTAATCCGGTGACAACTACAACAGGTAAGCGGCCAGCCAGGCTAAAGAGTCACATTCCCTGAGGAGTCACTTTCCCTGGTGGCCACTAATATGTGGTAGTTACTGTTCTCATTGCATTAATACTATCATGACCACAGTACTTAAAGACTCAAAGCCTAATAAAGCTTATTCAAAGCCTTAGAAAGTCACATTTGGCTTGGCTGTATTTCTTTTGTCCCAAATACTTTTATTGTAGCTTTGGCCCTGCTCTTATCAAGCTCTGCAGGCAGAGCTCACATTTGTATTGTTGGTTCAGGTAGCCAGGGTGTGGTTGAGATTTAATGCTATTTGAAGGACTCCTGCATGACCTTGTGGGATAAGAACGTATCAGAAATCAAGGCTCTAACTTTGATTCAAAATATAGCCATGGAATTGGTTTTGAAAATTAAATTGCTTGCAAGACTTTTAAGGATGATCCTGTTAAGAGAAGCTAAAGTCTGTTCCTAGTGCAGATGGGGAATTCTTGCCTCTGGTTGTCTGCAAGTCAGCAGATTCGGTTTTTAGAACTATATGAAGCCTTATAAAAGCACAGGATTTATTGAGTGGAATAGTTAGCAGATCTTTTAAGGGCAACTCTTAGAGATTGTTATATATGTTAGTCCTATATCACTCTTGATCACCTCATTCTCTGTTAAACCTGATAGGTAACAAATCTGAAGATTTTTGTTACAAACAGACACAGGAAGAGTTGAATACACTTTGCAAAAGATGCTAACAGAAGGTGTGTCTTTCAGTTCTGAAATGTCTTCAAGCAAGATATACAGTAAACTTGTTTTATACAAATGCTGGCTGCAGCCTGGTGGCTTTAAATCCGTTTCAGCCTGTCTCCTACCTCTATTCACCAGAGCTTATGAGAGAGTACCATGTTGCACTTCATCCTCAGGTAATCCTTGTATTTGAAATAACTGTCCTTCTGCAGAACCCAGATGTCAAGTTCTTCAAAATCTCTACGAGCAAAATAATCCTAAAGGATGACCCCCATGTCTAGTGGAACA